CCTACTTGTAAAATTCTGCTTCAAGCTAATTACTTCATTGAAGGACCTCAGCTTATTGCAGATTCCATACTCATACAAAAAAATCAGACTTTTCGTATTTGTTACAAGATGAAAACTAAAAAACTTTTTGTCATAAATTTGTGTTGAGGCAGAAATGTAAAGTTTCTGAAAGCTAGGTGAAAAAAAATGTCAGGACAATTAACAAACTTATTTATTAAACTTAATAAAGTTAATTCTTTAAAGCTAAAAAAAAGTCATGTCATTTTAAAACAGATCAGTGCAATATAAGGTCTAAATACTGCAGATTCTAGCATGCAAACAATATGATCAACAACTGAGATTGTAACTAACACTCCAACTTTATCAGAAAAATCAAATTTCTTATTGGTAGACATCATGAATTGAAAAACCTCCAAATGAACATTTAACTACACTAAAATTAAATAAGGATTACAGCTCTTTCATCAAAACAAATTTGGACAAAAGTTAATCTTCTGATTGTTGAAAATCTATCAAGCTATTTTTCCCATCCCCACCCTAGATACCAAATGAGACAATTTTGCTAAGCACACAATATTTGGATAAAGTATGCAAGCATGTTATCAGGATTGTGGATATGATTAATTTACAACTGTTTGCTGTTGTCTTAGGACATGAGTCTTTATTATTAAAGTAAACATTTATTAGATTCATTCTGGTGTAAATATTGACTGAACTACTGTTATCTGTGTTAAAAGAATAAGTTGATAACCCTGGTTGTGTGTTATCACAATACAAACATGGAAAGTGTCTGACCTATCAAAAAGTACACTGTATACATGTAGTTTTTAAGTACTTAGGTGTCTGCTGTAGTCTTTTTATTCACCTCACAGCATTGAAGTAATTATCTCAGAATATGTTCATAAATTACTGAATTCACCCTGATTTTTTTTTTGGAGTATTATTATTGTTCATGAGAAGTTAAGTAAAGCTGCTTGTTGGCCCTAATGTTACCTATGGTTTATCAGGGACCTTTTATGGTCTGATTTGCAAAATTTGCCTCCAACTATTATTGAAACATGTACCATCTGTTACCTGTTTTTTTTCAAAAGAGTTGAAGAGTAATTATGTAATTGTTAATAGCTGATGATATTCAATGCACCAAAGAAACAGCAAGAAATTTGGAGTATTTAGAAATTAAAATTCATCTATACATTTTGCTTAGTCACTTTCCTCAGTTACTTAATCTAACATGGGACACCGACTTCTTTTAAACTGAGTTGTACTGTGTGTTTGTTTATTCCACATTGCCTAGAGGTATAGGGGGAGGGTTGAGAACTCACAAAACATGTTTAACCCCGCCGAACTTTTGCGCCAGTCCCAAGTCACGAACCTCTAGCCTTTGTTAGTCTTGTGTTTTTTTTTAAATTTTGGTTCATTTTGTATGTTTCAGAGTTTAGTGTTGCATCCATTTTGCTGAACTAGTATACATTATTGTTTAGGGGCCAGCTGAACCCTACTTCCCCGTGCAATATTATCTTGCTAAGTTGAAGAACCATTGGTGGCCTGGGGCTGTTTTCTGCTCTTTGGTCGCAGGTTGTTGTAGCTTTGACACATTGCATGTTTCCATTTTCTATTTCATTAATGTGTGCATACTTTTCCCTGGAGATTTTTCCCTTTTACAATGTTTTAGTAAGGATAAATATTCATGTGGTCTAAATTTACTTATGTTGTATATTAATAAATGTAGTTATTTGTTAAATAGAAGTATTAGAAACATACAAGTTACTTTTAGCTTGTGGCTAGTTATTATAAGGATAAACTGCACTATATAACATGATTTTGTAGGTTCAACTTTTCATATATGAACTAATCCAATCTCTTCTCCAATAGATTACCAGTGAGGCATATAATTTAAAGAAATCATAAGTTAATCTTAAAATGGACCTAACAGTGCTCCTGCATAACCTAACAAACAGGTGTAAGGGCAGGGATAATTTCCTCCAGTTGAGACTTAAAAACATGTATAACAATATTTAGTTCATGTGTCAATGAATAAAGAACTTTAAATAAATATTTAACTGATTAAAAGTTAAATAATCTTATAAGTTTACACATGTTCTTAAGTTTTTTAGCTATATGATTATTCAAACTTGTTCAATGAATTAAGAAATTTAGAAAACAAAATAATATTTGAGCCAAATTTGAATATCTAACTTTTTGGCCATAATAAAAAGGAAAGAAACTTGGTAAAAAATGCACTGCAAAATTGGTCAGTGATCATCAATTAGTAGAAAACAAATCTGCTAAAAACTTCTGACCAAAATGCTTTGTGTTCAAATTGCTGTTGATGGTCAAACTTACAGATGGTGATCTATCACTAGTTGCCTTTGTCATGAAGTTAAGGGTCATTTTTTGGACTGAGTATTACGCTGATATAGTATAAACTAATCTTTGGTCAAAATCAATGTACAAAAAATATATAGATATCTATCTAAGTTACGGTGTTCCACCTGAATCAGAGATATTAATGGTCTAGGGCAGAATCAGATTTCAAGATAAGAACATAATGTGATGTACATGTAAATGTATATATACATTTGTATCTCACCTAAGCTAGATTCAAAAGACTAACAGCTAGCTTCAAGAAGACGAGAAACATTCTGATTTTAAGTTAAATGGTCTTTGCTTTTAATACCACTGCTTGGTAAAGAAATGACAATACCAACTTAAGTCTTCGGTTTGGCCTCAGACAAGGACATAGAGGGAACTCCAATACAATTTCATTTTTAAAGTTTGGTCAAAAGTAAATCCCTTTCCAGTTTACACATCTATTATTTTCACTATAACACAAACTGAGATTTCATTATTGATATAAATCAGTTAATACAATGTAAAACCATTTTATTTTTTCATTTCAAAACCTTCAGCTACTCTTCATAAAATTTATTAATATTCCATTACTAGAGTTGCTTCTGGTCTTATATCTGACCTGATGAGGTCTAATATCCATCTTCTACGCTTCATTCAATTTAGTGTTAGATACAAAAGGAAAATCTTCCACTTGTCTGGTTTTAAAGCAATACTGACCAATGATGAGTTATCATGTTCTGGTCACAGTTAAGGTGTCATTGATGGACACTGGACAATAAAGACAATTTAATCTTTATAGCTTATCATACATGTGACATTATTCCTTAGGCTACTGCATGGGTCCTTTGGTCAAGCGGTCAAAACCTTGTCCTATACTTGTCTATTACCTACATGTCTGGTGACAAAGAAACTTTATCAGTCTGTAGGTGTACATCTTTTTTAAAGATGCAATTTTTATCCAGGTTTCAATTTCTCCTTAACAGATGTGACTGGTGTGTTAATAATAAAGGTTCTAAACTCAAAACACACGTTGATCAGAAATATTGTAGCAACATATAAATTCTTTATTTTAATTTTTCTACACTTTTCAACATACAAAAAATATTAAAGAGTGTTCACTGTAAATTATTCATAAATCTTATTAAAATGCATTTACATCACAAATTCGGCAGAAATAAGTTTCACTGATGTTGTGGTAAACAAAAACAAAGGATGTGGTTTGACAAAGTAATGAATCAAGCTTCAAAAGATTTATAGGTATTGTTGTGGTAGAACTTGGGAGGATAACAAAACCTATCAATGTATATAAGTAATTTTCCTCCACCCTCCCCTAGCTACCTTAATCTTAAGTCGACAACAAATCTATTACACATACAATGACATAACTGTAATATATGTAATTAAATTTTGTCAGGTAAGTCCTAACCTGCCCCCTGGACATGACAGGATCCTTGTTATCTTTCCAAAGATAGATGGGTGTATCAAATAATAAATATATCATACATTGCCTAATCATATTGTCGTTCATTTTAATAAGATTTGTAAATTTCTCAACTACAGGTGTTAATTTTTCATCCTTTTCCAATGAAACTTGGCATGCATGTATGTAGCTGCATTTTCAGATTGTTTATTTATCCATTGTAACATGATTGACATTTGTATAAACATTCCAAGATTTTTTTTCTTAGATCAAATTTACAATACTAGTTCAAGACAATAATGTGTTAAGCTTCATGTCATCCTTCCAGAACATCTTTGCAAATAATTCTTTCTGTGTAACAATTTCATTACAGGTAAAAGAAGATTTCATCAGGTAAAAATAATTAAAGATCAAAGTGACATGACATTTTCTCAGGAGATAAAAGAGTTAAGTCTCTGTCAAAGTATTTGTAAAAATAAATAATGTTATTTTATGTGATGTTTATAGACAACTCCTCAACAGATAGCTACCAAAAATTGGCATTGTTGCACATACAATGTGTGTATTGCTGTTCAAGTGTGGGTAATGAACATAATTTGTCATTTTCAACTGACTGGTTTTTCAAGAATCAATTCATCACAAATTCTTGCTAGTGGAAAGTTTTACACATATTAGATTTTCTTGCCAATAGAGACTTTTCCTCTTGAATGGGTATGAAAATAGTTGCTTTTCTTATTAGATCTTATTTTACAGTTGAATTATTGCAATATGAATACAGAAATTACCCCCAACTTATTCACACGCACTTTCTCACATCCCCGTTCAAACAATCCCCAAATTACCAACAAAACCAGATGTGGATCCAGGATTTTGAAAAAAAAAAAGGGGTTTTGGGGGGGGGGGGGGGGGGGGGGGGGGGTCTGGCCCCTAAACTAGGCAAAGTTTCAAGTGGTACAGGTAAAAAGTCTGCATAATGCCTAACCCAATAATGTAGCTCCATAAGAGGGACGGGCACCCTGCCCACCCCCCCCCCCCCCCACACACACACCCCTAAATCCGCCTCTGAAAACTAGTGAGGAATTCAATTATGAATATCTAAATGCACTTTGGGTGTACTCTACTAACTACACATTTGATAAATCACGTGTGTTATCTTACGCCAGAGCGTTTCATTTGCCAGATACATTTTTGCACACACTTATACATATTAATGATCGGAAACACTCACCTCTTTGATATTCACAATAACTTTCATGGTCTATACAGCAATCATTCATAGCTCTACAATTATCATCGCAAAAACATTTTGATTCATTTACGTTGCCGTCCCTCCGAGGTCCGAAAGCATAGCACGTGTTATTTCGTCCAGGGCAACAAAAATTGACATCTCTGCAAGTCTGGAACCTATTTATTGTCCGTTGTGCTGTTTGTGCACATGAGAGGTTGGAATAAAGCACTACTGACAAAATGCAGCAAAATAAAACTTGTGATAATGATTTCCACATTATGATATAATGATACGATACAAGTGTAAATTCCTGAATATAATAAATAACTTTTCAAGAGCTAATGCAAACTACGTATATTTTTGTTTTCGTGCATCTAGTTTCAAATTTACGAGAAGTCTACCTATTCCCTAACTTAAACACTGCAGACTCTCAGTTTTTGTTGCCAGTGATAAATACCGTGTCTATCAGTACGAGCACACGCTTACACAGGGGGCGTTTCAAAACCGTTAAAGATGATGATACCTATAAGTATAAAATTCATAAAAAGATATCCTTCAGAAAACCGAATGTAGTGTTGTTGATCAAACGCCAGTCTGAACTAAAATCCACGTCAACGGCAAAGTTTTTATTCCTTCTGTACAAATTTATGGTTTTCATATGAATGGGTACTTTGTAAATAGCAAGCGCCTTTAATACTGCCCACCTCATACATATTCATAAGATTGACAGATGAAAGTGTTATGTTTGCAATCAACTAAATGGGTGCTAATTCTATCATAACGTTTGAAGTTTTTAAAATTTAATCTCATTGTTTGCCAGGTGTGTGACCCATAATTAAATGTACATTGATACTAATTAAATTTTACATGCTTTGTTTTTTTTTCACCGAACAAAACACCAAAAGGTCGACAACTCTGAAAATATTCAACTGTATTTTTCACAAGTGATTTTTAAAATGGCCTTTTTTGGTTGTTTATGAATAAAGTATAATACTGAAATGACTCTACTATAGTTTAGAAAGTGTCCTCGTAATTTATAACGGACATATCGCACTTAAATTATATATATATAAGAGTCCATAATAAGATATCCCATTCGTCTTTAAATATTTCAATTCAATAATGAATTTCATTATAAACTTTTACAATTTTTTTGTGCCTACAGTTTACATCATATCGCCAGTAAGTTGAATCAAACGATTTTTAAAGGTGACTGTCAGTAGGAAATTTGATGCAGTTCTATGAAGATTTTCCGTGTTGATTAATTTTTAAGATGAGAGATGAATGAATGGATTGATGCAGTTGTACATCTTATAAACAAGCGTTTTATTCATTTAAAGATGTATAGTTAGTCTTCATATTTCAAAAAAATGGCATTTAATTAATCAGATTATAAAAAAAAATGCTTAAATTTCAAATATAAAATGTACTATTTTGGTTTTGTTCATTAAATTGGAACCTAATATTTCGGTTTATACATATTCTTTTAATAAAATTAATTTCAGCGGTTTAATCACAATAAAAAGTTTGTGATCATATGTCCTTAAATTGACTGGTGTTTTTCACGAATGGTGTATTTAGTCGCCTTGTTAGTCTGGGTCGATTATACCCAGACAACATTTGACGAATGGGACATCTTATTATGGACTCTTATATAATTTCTGTGCGATATGTCCGTAATAGATTACGAGGACACATATATTTGTTTAGACTAGGAAAGACATCAGATCACATGATAACGATTTAACAGCCGTTACAAAGAACAACAAACTATTTTAAACTAATATTTTGAAAACTGTTTCTGAAAAGGGTCATATAAACTGTGATGAAAATGCGATCTCGGGCTTAGGCTATAGCCCTCGAATATTTAAAGTAATATTAAAACTCTGAGTCTCAATTGGGATAAATTTTTGAGGTACTAACATTCCCCCTTCTGTCGGTCATATTATTTCCAAGTTCAGATCTTAAGCTTGCTCTAATTAAGACACGTTTATTTACTATCGGTATATATGATGTTTGATAATTTATAATTGTGTATATATTTGTAATGTATTGTTTGTATTCCTTCAACCCCTCAGCATTTCATAAATAAATAAATAGATAAATAGATCCATGTCAAGTATGAGGTCCTAAACAAAGCAGTCCCTTACTTCTGGTGGTTCTAAAAAGCTAATCCAAAGAATCGTGTATCGCATATTATTGTACAGGTAAAATTGTGCTTCATAATATTTTGTGACGCTTTGCATACCTTAAATTTTGGGAAACCGCCTCGGTGGTCTCGTGGTAGCGTGTTCGCCTCGAGAGCAGGAGGTCGTGGGTTCGAACCCCGGCCGAGTCAAACAATAGACTTTAAAATTGGTATTTGCTGCTTCTCCACTAAGCACGCGGCATTAAGGAGTAAGAGCAAAGACTGGTCGACTCGGAGTCAGAATAATGTGTCCGGGTAAGGTGACATGTCTTCCTGCGGACTGTTACTTTGTGAACTATCACGTTAAAAATCCGACTCAGCATGTCGGTCTAGTACATAGCAGGGTTAATATTCATATTACATTAATATGTTCTCGTCCTGAATATGCATATTAATTTGCCGAAGGACGTTTAGCAGCCATCCATCATCATCATCATCATCAAATTTTGAGAGAACAAATTGTTTGTTAATTTTTTTATTTTCGTATTCATATTGCAGATGCGGACGTATGAAGCTATACATTTATGGGTAATTAAGATTTTTTTACCTATTCCACTCCAAATGTTGCCTAGTTTGGAGCCCCCCCCCCCCATTTTTCTCAAAATCCTTGATCCGCATCTGTATTGTTTTGCGAATAGTTTTGAGTAGCCATGTATCTAGCCAAATGGGTCCGTATTTCAAAACGATCAATGGTAAATTCGACAAGCAATTGTATGAAATCTCTGAATAAAACTGAAAGGTTATTGGAGACTCTTTCAAATCTTCATTACAGCCTTTTTAGGAATTTAAACATTATGAGCAAACTGTGAGATTATGCTGGGCAACGACATAATTATACTAATGCTTAAACGTATTGTCTCATACAATGGAAAAATAAATAAATAAATTAAAAAAATAAAATACAAATGAATCGGACCAATAAAGTTACATGCATGGTAGGGGAAATTTCAATAACATTCATTCACTTTTTACAGTGCATTTTAATGTAACACTGTATGAACTTCAAAGGTCTCCTTAACACCCTCTCTGGCTAGGGAGACGCAGCGATTCCGTCGTCTGACGAAAGCAAACGAAAAAACCCACGATATCATCTGATGTATCACAAATTGATTAAACATGAGATAAGCTTAGAGTGGTATGCAAAAACAACAATACAACAATGCTGAAAAATTTCAACAATGACATATGTCAAATGTAAGTTGCGTGTTTAAGCATAATTTACGAAGTGTAGAAATTAAATGTAACATTATTAAATAGTTCTGGTAATTGAATTCATTTTGTGAGTCGATGCGAACGAAATTTTGGAGTTTCAGTTACATAATGTTCACTTCATACTTTTAGGGAGATCATTCAAAAGTTATCACTTCGTGTTTGTAAGATTAAGTGCTGCACAACATTGACATAGTCTTTTGTTCAATCTACTCATCAAAAGACAAACCATATAAAACGAACGAACGAACGAACGAACGGACGGACGGACGGACAAAAAAAAAAAGCCAAATCAAAAACACCCGCCCTTAAAAACACAAAACAAACAAAACAAACAAATAATTTACAAGCAGAACAAAAATCCAACAGATATAGGGATGGAGAAACTGAACTTAACAGCCTGCTTAATAATTATGATGATAATTTGAAAAGTACACTAGAAGACTTGAAATCACATATATAATGTAACAGACAGCAGCGATCACGTAAACAGTACTTTTTAGTCTGATTTATTTGTAAACTTGTATTATTGGATTGCTGTCTAATAGAGATTCACCCTACGTATCACTTCGATCACAACGAAAACAAAATGTATACAACTTAACGAACGTCAGTCAACCCACCCCTTGACAGACTATATGCCAACTGTATTGCACCTATTACGTACTTCAAAAACCATGAGAGTACTAAATCAGTACTATCCCCATGTAGTAACTAAAAAACTGTCCTAATTACTAAAATGCTTTCCTAATATTTTGGATTCAGTCAACCATAAAAATGAGGTCCATAATGTTTGTCATATCTCAGATATATATGCCTCCCCGCTGAATCATCTATACTAAATACAATGATGACCGTTTCTTCGCCTCCAGTTTTTTATTGATTTTGTGTCGCTTAGTTGCATGCTGTTAGTCTGGACTAGGTTACTAAACTTATTGGTGCACACTTCAGATCTTTTTATTCATATACAAGGCGAGGCTTGGCATTTATTTCAAATTATATTCAAGCCTTTACTTCGATGTGGGTGTTATAAAAAATCCTAAAGTAATTTTGATTGCATGTTGCTTTTCTCTCTCTCAACATTTTGACTGTCATAGCGTTGGAAAATTGTGTTTGACAAACAGGGTATACGACTGAGGAAAAGATGGTAAATATATAGATAACAAGTCCTTAATTTTATATTTCTCTTTGTTCATATACCGGCACAGTTGTTATCACTGCTGTAAGGATTGACTGAGATGTAAGGCCATCCCGTGACTTCTCCAATCCGGCAATACAACTCTTACTAGTGTTGGACGATCGTTCTGCTGCTCGGGGTGTATTATGATATGCTGCCATGTATATATGGTCGGAATATGATAGTTAAACCAAAGCCCTGTGCACGTTTAAAGAACCCTACTGCAGCTCTCTGAGGGATCCACGGGTTGCCTGTAACAAGGTAAAAAAATCTGCCCCTAATTGTCTAATGGTTGTCCAAATTTACCGCCCTTCATCCCGATCGACCTACCCTGCAGAACGTACATATTGGTTTCATTGTTTATTTGTCAATCAATCACAATTTTTACCAATAGTTCCTATTTCCCCATATTCTATATTTTCATTTATCATTCAACATTTTTTAGCCATCTCACCTTACTGAGTAACATTCTCTTTTATTTGGAATGATGCTTCTCAAGAATCTAACAATGAAATGTTTCTTTTTCTGTTTTTTTTTTCCTTTTGTAAAATTAACTTGTCACATTTTAATGTATATATCAAATGGTGACTGTCTTAAGGTGAGCACATATAATTTCTATTATTTTGAAAATATAGGTTTACAAAGATATATGTATGATTCATCAGTTTAAATTACATATTGCATGCAATCCAGATTTCAAATCTAGATAAGAAAATTGATAGTTTGGCACATATCAAGTTAATATAATTGTGGCTTACACCTGCAAACCACAAAATATACATGTTTTTTTTTATCGGATAGGATAAGAAGTGACATTGTTTGGATCAGATAAAAGCGAACGTTTGTTTGTTTGATGCCAATTAACGTAGCCGATAAGGTTTTATCTTTCATTTTCTTCCTTTTTTCTTCGTTTTTATTTGAAATTATTCCTTCAACTTTTGTGTGTTCCTCTGTTATGCCTGGTAGACACATTAACGGTACCAATTTTACTGCACCAGACCAATGATTTGTATCCTTGACCAGACACATGCGCACTTCGACGATTAATGTCTCATCAGTGATATATGTGACCAAGCAAAAAGATACGTGAAGTTCTCTTATC